TATATTTATCTTTTTCAACTTTGTTGATGTTTCCATACTAAAACTCAGATTTCAATTGCTATTCACTAATTATAAGAGCTATCAATCTTCAAACCAAGAAAGCAAACCTTCCATGGCCAGAGTGTAGTTATAGAAGTCTCCGCCATTGACAAGAATGCAGATAGACCTAAAAGTGCAGTCAAAATCACACCTTGCTCTTTGAAAATCTTAAGAACCATAGAAACCTTAGGCCACGCATTCCTCAACAACAATGCCCACTGCTCAATCACTCCGTACCCTACATTCACCACTCCCTCCACTGCGAGCACTCTCTTGCACGCGAAAAACAAAAGACAATAAAGCATTGCCCCAATAAAGACTCCCCGCTTCAGCAAAATCTTCAGAGACTCCAAATCCAGGCCTAAAACCTCACCTTGGTCACCACCCAGATGATTGCTTTCTACGCTTAATGATCTCAAATGAACTGTAAATTCCACCAAAATGGACGGATTGAAACAGCTGGAGACTACACGACATGGGAAGTGATTACTTTTGGATGATAATTTTATTGAGCATTTCAAATTTCGATTGTGTTGCACGAAAGAGGAACACTTGGACGGAAATGAAGGATGGTCGATTGACAACTCCACAATAGTTATAGCTGAAGGAAAATGTTAAAAATTTCAAAAAAAAAAAAAAAGATTCAAATCCTATTCCACCTTGTTCCCGTTGGAACTGTGCATGCTTGGTGATGGATTTGCTGCAGATGGAACGGAGGACTTAGGATTCATAATAGAAGAGAAACCCTAAAGGAAGATGTTGCTGAAAGCCAGTGGGAGAGAGGGACTGAAGCCGAAATCACAGGACTTACCCTTCCCAATTTTACAATTACAGTTATATCCCTACAACGATAACCATCCCAAAATCCAGATTCCATGATCATGAAATGATCCCATCAAAATCCCATCTCAAAATTCAAACTTCCCCTTCAGCTCAAAAATGTAAAGCAAGAATTTTTGTGACTCTGCTAATGGGAATCTCAAGAACAAAAACTGTAAAGAATGAAACTTGACACACCTTTGCTTCCAGTTTGATACCAACTGATTTAAGGAAGTACATTAATAAAAAAAGATTAACAGCTTGAAACTTCAAATATATTTTACAATAAAGAAAGACAAAATTACAAAGCATAATAAAGACAAGAGTAGACTAACAATTTTAGACAAGCCAATGCTAGCCATAACAGGAACTTCAAACCCAAAAAGCACTTATTCAGGAAACATTAAATCAGAAGGTCTAAAACATCAACTCTGCAACTAGCTTCTTCTTTGAACAAGTCTTCTGGCTTTCCTCATCTTCCTTCCACTTTGACTTGGTCGGCCATCAAACAAAGACACAAACCATTTCGGCTTTCTTGTTCGGAAGACAAGATATCCCATCAGCAGTCCAAAAACAACTCCACATCCATAGCCTAACACAACAACTCTCCAGCCAAATCTCCACAACTCATCTTTTTCTTGGAAGGAGCTCGGCGGTGTCCCAATTCCATCACAAGATTTTGACAATGGGATTCCACACAGTTCAAGGTTTCCTTCATAAGAACCATTTCCAAAGGTGTTGAACTGATTGCCCTGTGGTATGCATCCGACAAGATGATTATTTGAAAGATTCAGTACAGAGAGTTGTGTCAAAGATACCAATTCATCAGGAATTTTCCCTGTCAGCCCGTTGGAAGAGAGATCCAACCATTCCAGATTCGTCAAATTCCCTAGTGACGGTGGGATATTACCAGTAAGGTTGTTATGAGAAAGATTAAGCCCTTTGAGAGAACTAAGGTTTCCAATAACATCTGGAATTTTTCTGTCAAACATGTTATTTGAGAGATGAATACAACTGAATACGGTCAAGATTCCCTGCAGCTCATAGTCGAATCCCTTCCATGTCACAACCAGTGAATATTGATAAGGATCGGCTCCCATCACCTTCATGTATTTAGGGGAACCATCCTCTCCATGAGGGTCCATCATCGCTTTAAAATTTTCAATGTACTGAACAGGCAAAGGGCCACGAAAATCATTGCTGGAGAGGTCCAGAACTCGTAACTTGGGAAAAGATGGACTTTCTTTGGTGCTCTGCACAATACCGTGGAACTTGTTGGACCTTAAGACAAGCACTTGAAGGTCTGGTAGAGATTCCAACCAATGAGGAAATGTATCCTCTATGCTGTTGTTGCCAACGTCTAGAACCTCTAACTTGCTACAATTCACCAAAGACCTTGGTAATAGCCCATCCATTTGATTTCCATGTAAGTTGAGATTTTGTAATCCACAGCCCTCTGGAAACCCAAATGGAATATATTTCCATCAAAGTAATTGGCCTGCAAATTCAACACTGAGAGAAACTTAGGAAGACAATTTGGAATCTTCCCGATTAAATTGTTATGAGAAAGGTCAAGAATTTGGAGATAATCCTTTTCACATATCCATTCGGGAATAATTCCATGAATGCTATTTTTGGATAGCACTAGGCTTTGTAGACCATTTGAATGTCTTATGAAATTGGGGAATTCACTCAAGTTACAAGAAGAAAAGGAAACATCAAGTAGTTCGGGTAATGTGAAGTTGGCATTGACATTCATTCTCAAGGACAGATTATTGTCTGAAAGAAGGATGGTTTTCAGATTTTGAAGCGCCGAGAACATGTCAACTTCTACTAAATTACTAAAATGATTTGATGATAAATCGAGATAAATAAGATTTACTAAATTAGCAATTGAGTTAGGAATTGAGCCCTGGAGTTTATTGTTTGACAAATCTAGGTGTGTGAGTGAATTTTGCTGGAATTGATTTATTTGACCTTGAAATTGGTTATGATTGAGATGCAAGTACTCTAACAAAGATAGGGTGAAAATCCAAGGTGGCAACATGCCAGAAAACTGATTATTGGAAAGGTCAAGATAGGTAAGTTGTGTGAGGTTTGTCCAAGGTGGTAACATGCCAGAAAACTGATTATTGAAAAGGAAAAGATTGATAAGTTGTGTGAGGTTTGCAAGTGATGATGGAATTTGTCCGCTAAGATTGTTATAATAGAGGTCTAGCCAAGCAAGTTGCCTTAAGTTACCTATGGAAGTTGGAATGGGACCGGAAAACTGATTATTGGAAAGGTCAAGATCGATAAGTTGGGTGAGGTTTGCAAGTGATAATGGGATTTGTCCACCAAGATTGTTAGAATTGAGGTCTAGGCTAGTAAGTTGCCTTAAGTTACCTATGGAAGCTGGAATGGGACCAGAAAACTGATTATATGAAAGGGCAAGAGAGGTAAGTTGTGTGAGATTTGCAAGTGATGATGGGATTTGTCCGCTAAGATTGTTAGAATAGAGGTCTAAGCTAGTAAGTTGCCTTAAGTTACCTATGGACGCTAGAATGGGACCAGAAAACTGAATATTGGAAAGGGCAAGAAAGGTAAGTTGGGTGAGGTTTGCAAGTGATGATGGGATTTGTTCGCTAAGATTGTTAGAATAGAGGTAACCAGAAAACTGATTATTGGAAAGGGAAAGATAGGTAAGTTGCCTTAAGTTACCTATGGAAGCTGGAATGGAACCTTCCAAGTTGCATTGAAGACTCAGAAACTGTAATGACTTTAGATCTCCTATAGACTCTGGCAATCGCCTTCCGCAATCCATGACAGATAAATACAAATCTTGGAGAGGATTGCTCCAATTGGAACTTGGAAGATCAATAGTGAGGTTTCGCTCTCCAAAATATCCACTTAAAGAAAAAATCTTGAGATTTGGAAAGCGGAAAATACTGTTTGGAAAGTTTCCTCTTAACACACTCTCGAAAAGATCAAGAGTAGTCAATGAAGAAGAGAGATTCATGAAGAAACGGGGATTAACAGATGTCATGTTCACTCCACTAAGCACAAGTTCTCTCACCTCACTCAAGTTATGAACAAGATTTCTCAAGGTAGTTGTTTCAAGGATCAAGTCAGAAGAATCGTACCAATCAGAGAGATTGAGAGAAACTAACTTGGGGAGGTAAGCAATTTCTCTTGGAACTTGGCCTGAAAATCCAGAATCAGAGACATCAAGATGCTTTAGTCTAGTAAACTGACTGATTTCCGATGGAATCTTGGAAAGCCTAAAATCATTCAAGGCAAGATTGAGGCTCTGCAGGTTTCTGAGTAAGAAAAGAGTGCTATTGGAAGGAAAGGTGCCATAAAGGAAACTGCAGCTGAGATTAAGGGCAATTACATGGCCTGTGACATTATCACAGCTAACCCCATCCCAGGAACAACAGTCTATACCTTCCTTCCATGACTCAATCTTAGAATAATTTTCCCCCCAATAATATGAATATGGGACAGTGTAATTGATGGAGAAGGATGTCTTGAATTGCAGCAAAGCAAGAGCCTCCTCATGAGAGCAACGATGTGCTGTTGATAAGGAAGAAGCATGTATAGAGGATGAGAAGGCAGTTTTAAGACAGAGGAAGACAAAAAGGAGGCAGAGTGGTGCAGAGAGCTTTGTGAAGATCCTCATATCTTTGTTTGGCGCAATAGAGTTACTCAAGAAGAGTATATATAGAGCATTTAAAATTGAGGGATGCTGATAATTTGAATATATTCCATCAAAATAAAAATAAATGAATATAGACTGTAATATTGACGCATGGTGGATGTCATTTTTTAATTTATTTTTTGATTTTTTTTACTTATTATTTTAAAATTTAAATAAATAACCTAATCTAAAAGTTTTTTTACT